TTTTTGTATCGGGGATTGAACTCGGGTCCTTTTGCTTACAAGGCAGGTGGCAGCACCACTGAGCTAAATCCCCAGCCCATATGTATAATTTCTCAATAAAGTTGAACAAAAGAAAGAACTTTGCCCCATCCCAGTTCTGCCTCAGGTGGCCTTGTGCGCACTGGGAGTGGGCAGCAAGCTGACTGCACTTGGATGTTGGTTTGGGGGCTTTGGGAGTATTAAAAATAATTTAGTTTTGGGCTGGGGATTTAGCTCAGTGGTTCTGCTGCCTGTCTCGCAAGCACAAGGACCCAAGTTCGATCCCCAGTACCAAAAAAAGAAAAATAATTTAGTTTTTGTTTGTTTGGCTTTTAGTTTGATTGGGCGTTTGCAAATTTTAACAGTCATTTACAGAGGGAGAAATGTCTTTAACACTGTTAGAATTTGATTATACTGCTTTTTCTTTAGTGGTACTGGCAATTGAACCCAGGGCCTTCACACTGAGCTAAGCCCCGGACCTTTTTTAATATTTTATTTTGAGGCTACATCTCAGAGTTGCACAGGCTGGGCTCAAATTTAGGATTCTGCTGCCTCCACCTCCCAGGATTTTGGATTATGGGTGTGTATGTATTATCATACCTGGCTTGGTTATACATTGTTTAATTTAAATGATTCTCATTTATTTTTGTGTATTTTTTTGTTTTTTAGATAGTCTTGCTGTGTAGGCTAGCCTTGAACTCACTCTGTAGCCCAGGCTGGCCTCAAGCTTGCAGTAATCCTGCCTCTGCCTGCTGAGAGCTAGGATTACAGTTGTGCACCACCATACCTGGCTCAATTCTTTTTCATATCAGTAGTTTTCTTACTGTGATTTGGAATAAAATGAATTGTAGAAGATGGGAAAAGAAGGTTTTTGTTTTTATGTAGTTCAGGCTGGCCTCAAACTCACAGTGATCCTCCTGCCTCAGCCTCCTGAGTTCTGGGATTACATTGTTGTTGTTTTTGATTGGTTCGTTTTTGAGATGAGATCCTTTTTTTTTGTTTTGTTTTTTGGTTTTTTTGTTTTGTTTTTTCAGACAAGGTCTCACTGTTGAAACTGATCTGGAACTCAATATGTAGCCTAGGCTGGTGGTCTCAAACTCACAGCGATCCTCCTGCTTCAGCCTCCCAAGTGCTGGGATTACAGACATGCGCCACCATGCCCAGCTTGAGATCTTAATCTTTTATCTAGCCTGACCTTTTAAAATCTTGGGGTCAAGATTCCTGAATAGCCTCAGCTTCCTGAATAGCTAGGACTGCAGATTTATGACACTAGACCTGGTCGTTTTTCGACTTTCACAGATCAAGTCGTGTATATACAGTCCTAAGTGGCTAAACTACTATGATCCTTCTGCCTCAGCCTCCCAAGTTCTGGAATTACAGGTGTGTGCCACCACACCTGGTTTAAACCACACTGGAAGGCTCTAAATTTACTTAATGATGATACTTTGTTAAATCAAATTAGTACGATATTTTACATGAAACAAAATATTAACATCTGTATAAAATGGGTTTACTAATTGGTTTTATTTTACGGTACTGGGGATCAAACTCAGATCCTTGCACTTACAAGGCAGGCATGGTACCACTGAGCTAAATTTCCAGCCCTGGTTTACTAATTTTTAACATTTAATTTTTTTACATTGGATTATAAAATAGGAAACTGCGTATTCTGGGATTTACTTAGATCTTTTTCATTTTCTGTTTTTCTTTTTCAAAATTTTATCTTCTTAAATGCATGTAATATTTTCCGTTCACATCCATCCCCATATTTCCCTTCCTTCCATCTGCTCCCTCCGCCCCCACTCCTCCTCCTGTCAGACAACAGCCCTTTCTGCCTTAGGCTACCTCTGTTTCCGGAGTCTGTGTATTAGAGAAAAGACGCCTTCCTGGCTCTGTTTAACACCTTACTCTCGGTTCCATCTGTCTTACTCCTCATGGCTGCAGTCCCGGCGTGCGCGCTCTCCGTGCCTTCTCCATCTCCCCTCCACTGACGGGCACCTGGGCTCGTCCATTCTTACTCTTACGGATTGGGCCACAGTGAACACAGGTGTACAGGGAGCTGCTGGAGTGCTCCTTAGGGTACCCGCTTTTCCTGCTGTTTGCTGAAGAGGATTTCTTTGCATGTGCTTTTGGCCCTTTGTCAAGAATCAGATGACTGGGCTGGGGATTTAGCTCAGTGGTGCCTCCGCCTGTCTGGAAAGCGCAAGGTCCCGAATTCAATCTCCAGTGTAAAAATAAAAGAATCAGATGACTGTGGTGGTGTGGATTTCTGAGTTCTCTCTTCTGTTCTCCATGTCTGTTTTTGCGGCAGAACCATGCTATTTGGTTGCTATGGCTTTGTAGGATTGTTTGAAATCAAGTATTTTAAACCCTCCAGTCTTGCTCTTTTTGTTTTGTTTTGTTTTGTTTTGTTTTTTGAGACAGGGTCTCACTATGTAGTTGAGACTGACCTGGAACTCACTATGTAGCCCAGGCTGGTTTTGAATTCACAGTGATCCTCCTGCCTCAGCCTCCATGTGCTAGGATTACAGGCCTGCACCACCACACCCAGGGTTTTTTTAATCTTTTTTGTTTGTTTGTTTCAGTCTTGCTCTTTTTGCACAGGGTTGCTTTGGCTATTCTGGTGTTTGCTGTTCTTTTAACTATTTATTTTGTTTTCTTTACAGGGTTTCAGACAAAATCAAAAAGAAGGGAGGGGCTCACATTTCAACTGAGTAAGTCTGCCATCATTATAAGTGAATTTTTTGTATAAATCTTTTGATTTGAGCCAGGTATAGTGGTGTGGGCCTGTAATTCCAGCACTCGGGAGGCTGAGGCAGGAGGATTGTAGTGAGTTTGAACCCAAGCTGGGCTACTTAGTGAGTTTAAGGCCAACTTGAACTACACAGTGAGACCCTGTCTCGGTTTGTAGAAAAAAAATGTTTTTGAACATTTAAAAGTTGAAATATTGGGCTGGGGATATAGCTCAGTGGTTGTGCCACCTGCCTTGCAAGCACAAGGTCCCAAGTTTGATCCCCGGTACCAAAAAAAATGTTGAAATATTAAAAAATTGACAAGCGTAATGAGGTCCCAAGTTCAATATCTGGTACCAAAAAAAAAATGTTGAAAAGTTAATGCAAAGCCCTATTAAAAACTTTTGGTGCTGAAACTATTGGATAAAAAGTTGGACTACATCCCCACTCAAATTCTCTTGGTATCAGAATATTGTCTCAGCAATACTTACAGATGTGGGAAAGCACACTGTTTTGCACAAAGGATTTAATGACACCGAACAAAACAATAAGCAGACAGCCAGGCACACTTATCTGTGATGCAGTTTGAAGTACAATGCATTGTGTTTAAAGTGTTCTCATCAAAAGTTTAACTGGGCCATACTCAAGCCCTAAGACGTAATTTCCCTTTGCAGGAAACACTGGGGATAGAGCATCGAATTAAACGACATTGCTCAGGAGAGGCTCAGACAGGTCTAGACTGAAGTGTACAAGATAAGTGGCCTAACCTCTTCCAAATACTATTGTTGGGAAAGAACAAAGGAGGTGAATGGGTGACTAATTATTCTTGATTAAAAGTGAAGAGACATGATAGCCCAGTACAGTGTGGGATCTTTATTTTATCATTTTTAAATAAATTTATTTATTTATTTGCTGTATTTTTTTTTTGCGGTGGCAGAGATCAAACCCAGGGCCTTGTACATGCTACGTAAGCGCGAGTTCTGTCGCTGAGCTTGACACCCCCCTCCCAAGCATCCTGACTTCCAGTGTGGGGTCCTTGATTGGACTCGGCCTTCTGTAAAAGCCTTGGGGTGGGGACTGAGGGACTCTGGACACAGTTTAAATACAGACTGGATTTTCAATATTAGATTATTATTCCTCACTTTATGAGCTGCGATAAAGGTATTGTCGCTTATAGAGGATTACTTAGGAGTGAAGTGTTAGTGAACGTAAATACTTTGAAATGGTTTAGCAAAGCGTGTGTATATGTGAAGCACATAAGGCAAGATGTTAACGAATCCAGCTGGGGTGTGCATGGGATTTGTACTGTGTTTTCTATTTTTTTTGTATGTGCTTAAAACTGAAAAATAAATTTGTAATTTTTTCAAATCATTAAAATCGGTCATGTGTATGTCATTATGTTCCTTTTTTGCATATTATTTTACACTTGGTGAGCTGTGCTCTGCGGTGCTGGGATGAGCCCAGGGCCTGATGTGCGAGGTGAGCATCTCCTGAGGTGCTGCACCTAGCCCCGTGCTCTGCACCTCGCCCATCCCTGCGTCTTGAAACTGTCGCCTTTTGACTATAGTACGTGTTCCCACTCGTGTCACATTTTGTCTGTTTTTAATATTCTTTGTCAGTTAAGTTGTTATTCCTTTAGTGTAATAGTTTTTGCCATTTTGAATAATATTTCAGTAAAATCTTCAGATATGTAGTAATTTGATTCTATTTTGTCAGTCTTAGGAAAAATTTTTGTATTATGACCATTTGATAAGAGATTGGATATTGTGATTCCTTTTTGTTTTGTTTTGTGTTTTGTTACTGGGGATTGAACTCGGGACCTTGTGCTTATGAGGCAGGTGGCAGAACCACTGAGCTAAATCCCTGGCCCTGTTTTTTGTTTTTCAGACACGGTCTCATTCTGTAATTCAGGCTGGCCTTAAACTTACTATGTAGCCCACTCTGACCTCAAACTCACAGTGATCCTCCTGCCTCAGCCTTCTGAGTGCTGGGATTACAGGCGTGCACCACCATGCCCAGCTGATGTTATACTTCATGGATATTTCTGTTTCTCTGAAAAACTTTTGAGAAAGTCTTGCTGTGTAGCCCAGTCTGATCTCTTAACTCATGAACCCCTGCCTCAGCTTCCTGAGTGCTGAGATTACAGGGGTGCAACAAGACACCTGGCTAGAAATTAAATCTTTGGAAATAAAATTTTATTCTCCATTTTCAAAATGGATGACATAGTCTTAGGAAGAGTGTGTTTAAAATTACATAGTTCATCACATTGAAAAGTATATCCTGGGGCTGGGGATTTAGCTCAGTGGCACCACTCCTGCCTCACAAGCCCAAGGTCCTGAATTTGATCCCCAGTAATAAAGAAACAAATAAAAGTATTTCTCCAGCACCACACCAGAAACAGTTTTTTTGTTTGTTTTTTGGTTTTTGAGACAGGGTCTCACTATGTAGTTGAGACTGACCTGGAACTCATTATGTAGCCCAGGCTGGTCTCAAACTCACAGTGATCCTCCTGCCTCAGCCTCCTCAGTGCTGGGATTACAGGCGTGTGCCACCACACCCAGCCCCCAAAACAGTTTTTAAGTGTAGTTACTTATTTCATTATTAGATTAATGTCACATTTATTAAATTAAAGTTCTCTACTTGGTTATTCAGCCAAATATGAAAAAAAAAATAGAAAAACTATACAGAATAGAAAACTACACACCATTCTTTAGGTAGGTTTTCGTGGATTCATGTTTTTATTGTAAAAGGAACTAGAAACTGCTACATGAAGTTTTCGTCCCTTCATCAGTAATCCTGGTAGCTTTCTGAGTGATTTCTGTATATATTTATGATGGCATCAAGTTAGACTTCATTGTCCCCTCTCACAGATGAGGAAACGCCCATCCCAGACCACACAGCGCATCCGTGCTACTCTGAGCTGTCCATCTCCGGCTTGGCTCTGTGAGCAGCTGCTCTTGCCTGCTGGCCCTGTGGACCCCTGTTCTGCGCTCTTGGGAGTAGGACTTGGGTGTGGATCTACGTGGGATCCTTTCAGATTTCTGCTTCTTCTCTTCGTGTCAGTCTCTGCCTGAGGCCTGAAGTACAGCCAGCCTCTGGTGCTAGGGAACTGGCCACAGCCTCAGCTGCCTCCACAAGCCAAAAGCCACTCCCTGGGCCAGCACCTACCCAGTGCCTGAAAATGGTCATGTCGTGGATTGTGCTGTGCAGAGGTCTGCAACAGGACAACAGGAAAACAATTCCACCTCCAGCTTCTTCCCTGTTTTCTCCCCGCCACCCAGTACAGGGAATTGAACTCAGGACCTTGTGCTTGCCAGGAAGACACAGTGCCTCTGAACTACATCCCTGACCCATTGCCATTTTCCAAACACCGGTTGGTTTTAACAAATATTTCATCGCACCCTGAATGCTTGGCCAGATGACTTAGTTCACTAAATCACTTTTCCCATTTTACATATTTATTTGTTTATTTTTTCTGGTACTGGGAATTGAATCCAGAGCTACCCCTGCCCTTTTTAATTTTTTGACACAAGGTCTTGCTATGTTCCTGGGCTTACTTGCCTTGCCAAGTTGAACTTGAGATGCTCGTGCCTTAGCCTCTCAGAGTCCTGGGGTGACAGGCGTACACCACTGTGCCCTGCCACCTTTCCCATTTTATAGCAGCTTACTGTCTTTCTTTCTGGCAGTGCTGGGAGGGCCTGACACTTGCCACACAAGTGCTCCAAGCTACCTACACCCTACCCTAGAGTGAATAGCAATCATCACATGCTTCTGAATAATTAGTCTCTTATAGCCATCAAAAGAAAGTGTATTAAATAGTGATCCTGTATCCCTCTCAGACTCATGAGACTTAGATATTAAATTTGGCATTATTGACACATTTTTCTACATAGCCATAAGTCTATTTTGGGTCCTTTTGCGTAGACATTTTATAGGAATAATTTTATAGATTGATAATTAGTTTTAGATCCCGATTCCTAGATTCTGAGTAGTTCTGTACATAACACATTGCTTCCCACAAAAAGAGTAACACAGCTTGGGGCCAGGGATTTAGCTCAGAGGTTCCCCCGCCTGTTTCGCAAACACAAGGTCCATCCCTGGTACCATCAGTCAGTCAATCAATCAATCAATCAGTAACAAAGCCTGTCTCCTACAGGCACATCTAACTATTACAGTCTTTGCTGGGGAGATTTTAACCACTTATCAGGTCAATTATTTAAATACAAGATGACCAAAAATTGCATATTTTTCTTCCTTGATTTTTATAAGATAACAGGAAATATAAAAACATCTGGGATTGAGGATTTGGTTCAGTGGTTCCACCACCTGCCTCACAAGTGCAAAGACTTGAGTTTGATCCCTGGTACCAAAAAAAAATGCACATACTGGTAATCTTAGCCTGTGGGGGGCTGATCCAGGAGGGTTGCCCCAAGTTCAAGGAGAGCCTGAACTACACAGACCATCTCAAAAAAAAATTAAAAATAAAAATAAAAAGTAAAAATTTTATCAGCATAAGAATTGACTGATTGGAATGACACCTGCCAGATCAACAACACTTGGGACAGTACCTAAACACGCTGCCCAAGGATGCTTGGGTAAACTGTGAAGTGATTACTTCTCCATTCTTGTTTATGAAAGTTCTAAAATAGCTTCAATTAATTTTTTTTGCTTCAATTAATTTTTGAACATGATTTAGCTTATTCATTTAGTTCTTTTTCTTGTTTGTAAGAAACAACATTGTTGTGGTGGTGTATGTGGAGTAATCAGATGGAAAGATGTGTTTAATACTTTTTTTTTGTTTTTTTGAGACAGGGTCTCACTATGTAGTTGAGACTGACCTGGAGCTCACTATGTAGCCCAGGCTGGTCTCAAACTCAGCAATCCTCCTGCCTCAGCCTCCCGAGTGCTGGGATTACAGGCATGCGCCACCATGCCCGGCTAATACTTTAATTTTTATTTTTTGGTATCGGGGATCAAACTCAGGACCTTGAGCTTGCAAGGCAGGCAGCAGAACCACTGAGCTAAATCCCCAGCCAATTAATAATTTTTTTTTTTTTTTTTTGAGACAGGGTTTCACATGTAATTGAGACTGACCTAGAACTCACTATGTAGCCCAGGCTGGTCTTGAACTCACAGCGATCCTCCTGCCTCAGCCTCCCTAGTGCTGAGGTGTGTGCCACCACGCCTGGCTCCCTTTAATACTTTTATTGTTTTTATTTTTTATTTTTAGAGGGGAAGGGTTTTTTTTCCCCCTTTAATACTTTTAAATGAAAAAAAGCACAATGCAGAACTGTGTCGTATGTGCCATTTGCATAAATACATATTGATGTGTATGTGTGTGTTAATTACCATCTCAGGACTTGTTTACCTTACATTTTTTTTGTTTTTATTACTGAGGATCAATCTCAGGACCTTGCAATTGTCAAGGCAAGTGTGGTGCCACTGAGCTAAATCCCCAGCCCAACCTAAAATTTTTGTTCTATGTACATTTCTTGTAAATAAAAAATAAATCTGGTCTACTATTGTTACCCCTTTAAAGTTTTTTTATTTTTGCAGGTAATTCAGTGTTCATTAATAAGTAAATATTCTTTCCTTAATATGTGCATCCTGAAGAGCACTTCATGTTAGCATATAAAACTGTTTGGGGAAGGGGTTGAGACAGATTCTCACTGTGTAGCCCAGGTTGGCCTTGAACTCACAGCAATACTCCTGCCTCAGCCTCCCAGGCCTGGGACTACAGGTGTGTGCCACCTTGCCCAGTGGCTCTCTTGTTCTTTTATACAGTTGGAAGATGTTCTTATGTAAGGAAGTATAGGTTACTTAATTGACCTACTGTAGATGAAAAGTTTAGGTTTAGTTTGGGGATGTAGCCAGCACTACAAAAAAAAAGTTCAGATTTTTTCCATTTTCTCTTTAATACAGCTAGTGTTCTTTTACATAATTCTTTTGGTAGAAGTAATACATCTTTAGGAATAACCAGTTTGTGTCTAGAAGTAGAATTGCTGGATTGAGAAAGATATGCTCTTAATATTTTAATAGATTTTTGCCAGAATGCTCTCAGAATTTTTTTCACAAGTTTAATTTGTGTTTCCACCAAAATTGAGTTTCTGTTTCTCTCAATCTAACCTAACCAGTATTTTATCAAACCTTTGGATCTTTTCAATATGATAGTTAAAAATGATTTTTTTTTTCTTTTTTGGTACTGGGGATCTAACTCAGGACCTTGCACTTGCCTGGTAGGCGTGCTGCCACTGAGCTAAATCCCCAGCCCTCTCCAGCCCTATTTTTATTTATCTTGAGACAGGTTCACTAAGTGACTGTGTTGCCCATGCAGAGTTTGAACTTGATGCCCCTTTGCCCATAGTACTGGGTTCCCAGGTGTGCACACCGAGCTTGGCTGGCTGGGGGTGGTGTTTGGCGACAGTCTCCCTGTGCAGCCCAGATGGGCCTCAAACTTGTTATCCAACTGCCTGCTGGGTTCTTAAGTGTGAGCCATCATCCCTGGCCGCGTTTTTATTTATCTTACTGTGAAGTTAGCACCTTTTCGTGTGTTTTAAGAGCTGTGTTTAATTTGTATTTCTGCATGTATGTTTGCTAATTCCTTTAGATATTTAGGTTTCTTTTAACTTTTGCTTGTAAAATTTACTACCAGTTGCTTGTCATTTGTGGAGTCCATATTTGCAGATACATCAGCTTACTAGAGTATCCGAATCCAGCAGCAGCGCTCAGCATGTGGTCATGTACATTCGGGGACATAGTACCAAGACATCTGAGTCCTGTTTTATTTCATCTCTCATACCACAAATGAGTGTCCTTCAAATGTAGTTTATTTAGCACCATCATCATTTGCCCTTTAAAGTCGTATAATTAGCTGTTTGAGTCATTTCTGTGCATTAATCATGCTTGTCTGATTTAATCTTTTTTTGGGGTGTGTACCAGGAACCGAAATCAGGACCTTGCACTTCGAGGCAGGCAGTGGCGCCACTGAGCTAAATCTCCGGCCCTGATTTAGTCTTTATAAGACAAGTTAGCTCCATCACCCCATTGCCCAGATGATGGAAGGGACCCCCACACCCAGTGCCTGGTGGCTGTTGCCAGGCCCTGTGGATGCTTGGCCTGTGCAGGTCCCACTTAGGATTCAGGCAGAAATCCTTCACATTTGGGTGGCTTCTATGTTCTTACATCTGCAGTGTCCTCCAGCAGTGTCACAGTGCTGCCAGTCACCCTAATTTCCAAAAGCTTAGGCACAGACAGGAAGCATGTGTGGCAAATAAGCTTTGTCCAGGCAGAAGTTCAGTTCTGTCCATAGTGAGTTTAGTGTTAATGACTTGGCAGTATGGAGAACATGGGGTGATTCATCTTTAATCCAGATATCTGGTGGGTTTTTTTGTTTTGTTTTTAAGGTACTGGTGATCGAACTCCGGTCCTTGCACTTGTGAGGCAGGCGCCAGAACCACTGAGCTAAATCCCTGGCCTATTCCAGATATCAGTTTGAATCTGTTTCATGGATTCCATTTTTTTCCTGTGTTGGGCATTCATGGTTTCCCTCATATTCCTGAGCTCTATTTTTTCATCTGTATCTGCTCTGGAGTGACGAAGTTTGTCTTTCATTCTGTTCGCCTTCTCTGAGAAATTATTTCTGCTTTGATTTTTTTCTAGAGCCTTGTTCATCTGCTTTGTTACTTCTGTTACCAGAAGAGAGTCCAGGTGGGTGGCTTTCAAATTGTTCCACTTTCCCCCAGGGTTTGCCTTTGGTGAGCTGAAAGTCTGGGGGGTTGCATCTTGTTTTACTTGTCTTCTCATTTTCTCTCTTTTTTTTAAAATTTGATTCTTAGGTTGATGTTTGTAAATTGCTTATGGTGAGTAGCTTTCTTGCCACTATTCAGAACACTTAAGAAATGACTACTACTGAGAAGCATCTTCCTGGTGTAGCTAGTCTTTGAGTTTTGAGTCTGTTGCAGGATTCTACCTCTTCAATTTATTGGGGATGAGAAGTTGCTGCTTACTTGGCCCAGCTGCCATTTCTTTGGCACTGGCCTATAAGTTTTGTTTTGTTGTTGTTTTTGTTGTTGTTGTTGTTTAAGACTCTTAGGCAATCTCAGTCTCAGAATAGGAGGAGGAACAACTGATTGGCACATTTATGTCACCTAGGCTAAAGTAGTAACAATAGCATCAAACAGCCTAGAAAATGACAAACTGTAGCTCTTAATATGGCAATTTTACCCTTAGGAGAGAAGATTTAAAAGGGGTTAGGTGGTAAAAAAGCAGAAGGAGAAGAGGAAGAGATCAGAAGCAAGAGGACAAACTTTAGGAAATTGGTGAAGACAGGTGAGAAGAGGGAAAAACAAAAACAAGACCAGAGGGCCAGGGATGTAGCTCAGTGGTACCACTGCCTACCTTGCATGTACAAGGTCCTGAGTTCTTCAATACCTGGTACCAAAAAATAAAAAATTTTAAAAACAGAACAATAAAAACCCATATTTAAACAATCAAGAAAAAACAACTAGAAAGGAAGAAAAAAATAAAAAAGAAAATCCAAAAATGTCCCATTCAAGGTGTGTTTCTGCTGTCCCTATTCGTGTGGGCAAACAGTGCAGAGCCAAAAAGATTATCTCACTAAGCTAGCCGCAGGTTCCCAGTGGGGTGGTGGAAGGCTCAGCCAGCCTGCCCCTTTAGTCTGAAGTTCAGGCTGGTTTCTGGCTATGAGGCTGGAACTGGATTCCTTCAGCCTACACAGTCTATGTCTCCTGCTGAAATCCAGTGTGTCCACTGCTCCATTCCACTGATGCGTTTCTCTGAGTAGGCTGATGGGTTGTCCACAGTCACCACGAGTGTACAGGTTTGGCCCACCATTTCCTGAGCAAGAGTCCAGGCTCTGGGAGAGTGCTGCTTGGCACCTCCTTCCTTTGTATTAAAGTCTTTCTCTTCACTCTCAACTAACTCTGTAAACTTCAATTCTCACCTCAGATGCTTCCTGGGTCCCACTTCCCTCCTCCTTGCACTGCTTTATTGCAGTGTCAGGACTCCAGATTTCCAAGAGGCTCTTTGCTGCTCACTCTGCCATCTTCCCAAATACACATCAACAAGGGTGTGTGTGTGTGTGCGCCAGGGATTTAGCTCAGTGGCACTGTGCCTGCCTTACAAGTGCAAGGTCCTGAGTTTGATCCTCGGTACCAAAAAACCCCCCAAAATTAAGGGTGTATGTGGATGGGTTGATGCGGCTGTGGCCCTGCATTTGCCAGAGCATTGGTTCACCTGGGCATGGGTGATGATTACACAACAGAGATCCTCTCTCTAAATAAATAAATAAGCAAGCAAGCAAATGTAAATGTAAAAATAATATAGGTAATTTTTAGGGAAAAGAAGCAGAGGTATGAGCTCAACAGGACAGGTTTATTTCAGAACAAACCTAAGAGGGATAGTCCAGGCTCTGACAGCAGACCAGGAACACTTCTACAGGTTATGAAGTCTTTTATAGAGTCATGGTTATAAAAGGGGTTGTGGAAGAAAAGGTCAAAATGGGTCTGTGCAGGACTTGAGTGAGGGAACAATGGCTCTGCTAGCGATAGGGCTTAAACGCAAGGTATGGTGTGTCTGCCACCAGAGAAGGTGACGGGGGTGAGGGTGCTGCCGTGCCTGCTGGGCCTTCCTGAGCAGAATTGTACCTCTCAGCAGGTGCACAAGCACAGTGGGATGTGAAGCAAGGATGGTGGCACTGGGCTCCTTCAGTAATTATAACAAGTGCAAAAAGGGAGGCGTAAGCAGTGCCTTTGGCCCCACTTCTCAGAGGCAACCAACAGGAATATTTTGAAATACCCTTCTGGAAATCTTTTACACCTCTATTGAGGAGTAACTGTTAAAGATTGCATATTTTAAGGGAAAGCACACAGGAGCCCGAGTGATGTCTCGCTGTACATCGCCAGGTGAGCGGATGGACCCGTCTAGATCTGGCAGGCATCGAGATATTTGGGGTCAGTTCTTAATGGGCTCTGAGGATCCCACGGCCCTCCGACCACACCTGCGCCTCAGATGAGAGCATTTCCCCACGTCCTGTTCCTCCTCATGGCCAGTGGAGGAGACGGACTCAGCGAGCTCTGCGACAAAGAGGCCCATTCAGGACCCTGCAGGAGAGGGTCACATAGGTTCTGCATCCAAGCCAGCTCGTTTCTACCGCATGTGAAACAGTCCCTGGGTCAGCCGTTTCTTGCCTATACTGAACACTTCTTCCGTCCCATGGCTTTGGCACAGACCCAGTCCCTGTCCCCACCACTGTCTGGACCCTGGGTACCGGGAGCTGCTGTGTAGCCTCGCCAAAGGGCTCCTCTTGCATGGGAGGCTCCTGTGGGGCTTGCCAAGGTCCTGCTGATGGGCTGAATCATAAACGCAGGCTATTTACTTATTAGAATCCTCACACATTTTATGGGTACTCTTTTGTGTGCATTAGTCACTAAAATGTGTTTGATAATTAGGCTTTCGGCATTGTTGGTTCAGCAGTTTTTACTGAATGCCATTTCTTTTCTCCTGGCTGTCACTGTGCAGCCTGGGCACCCTTGAACTCTCAACCCCCGGAGTGACTGGGTTCCATGGGTGCGCCACCATGCCCAGCCTGAAGGTTTTATTTCTGAATGATTGAAAGAATGGCAGTCTCCATCTCCAGAAATACGTAAGCGCTGAAACTGAGGATACCCTGCTTTGACGGCCTCGAGCAAGGTGATTATCTTCTGCACCCAGGAGCCAGCCCAACATGCTGAGTGTGAGCAACCTTGCAGGTGGCACACACACTAGCCCAGGGCCTTCCTGTGCTGGCCTGAGCTACGATGCACTCAGTGAAGTTTCTGGAAACATTCAGCTCTCAAGCTTGGCAGGCTGTCCAGTGCTTGAAAGAAATTCCTGTATCCACGCTGTGTAATCTTGTGATTGAAAGATTTAGGTCCTCAAGTTTCTGGAAACCTCCACTGATTGCTACCTTGGCTACAAAAATAAAATATTAATTAAAACATGATCATAAGGTCTTTTTTTTTTTTTTGGACTTTTATTTCAAAATGGAGGATATGGTTATTTGAGGCAACCTCCTCTCTTGCCACCACCATTACCAGTAAAGTGGGACATGCAAAATGTATTATTTTACTTTTAGTCTTTTTGAGACAATGTCTTGGTAAGCTGCCCAGGCTAGCCTTAAACTTTCAACCCTCCTGCCTTAGCCTCTCAAGAATGCTGGGATTACAAGTATGCACCACGTCTGGCAACTAGCAGCTTTATGTATTTATTTTTTCCAGTTTTTTTGAGACAGGGTCTCACTGTAGTTGAAACTGACCTGGAACTCACTATGTAGCCCAGGCTGGACTCAGACTCACAGTGCTCCTCCTGCCTCAGCTTCCTGAGTGCTGGGATTACAGGCTTACACCACCAAGCCCAGCCAACCAGCAACTTTAAATAAAAGTAATCCCTAGAAAAACATTAATTTTCAAACAGTACTTACCATGAAACAAGAATATACCAACAGGAAATCTACGATACGATATGACCATCCTAGTCATGAGAATAGCTAAAATTTAAGGAACTGACAAGTACCAAGCAAGGCTAGGATGTGAAATGACTGCTGGTGGAGTTGTAAATTACAACCTCCACAGAAAACAAAGCATTTATCCAAGTGCCTCAGAAACTCCCGCCTAGAAACATCTAAATATGTACATCAAAGGCCATGTATGGGCCGGGGATTTAGCTCAGCGGTTCGGTGGCCTGCTTTGCAAGCCAAGGACCCGAGTTCGATCTCTGGTACCAAAAAAAAAAAAAAGGGACATGTATGTTCACAGAAGTATGATTATTACTATTAATGAATTCAACTCATGGTGTTCACACTGAACTATAATCCCAAGCCTTTCTTCTATTCTTTATTTTTATTATTTATTTTGGTTTTTTTGAGACAGGGTCTCACTATGTAGTTGAGATTGATCTGGAACTCACTGTGTAGCCCAGGCTGGTCTTGAACTCACAGCGATCCTCCTGTCTCAGCCTCTTGAGTGCTGGGATTAAAGGCACACGCCACCACACCTGTCTTTATTTTTATTTTGAGACAAGGTCTCACTAAATTACTAAATTTCCCAGTCTAACCTCTAACTTACAATCCTCCTGCCTCAGTCAATCTCAGTGTGAGATTATAGGCATGTGCCACCATGCCCAGCTAAAACGCATTATTCATGATAGCCAAATATTAGAAACAACTGGATGGATAAACCAGGGCATGTGTGTAGTCACAGCATCACACTTGGTAATGGAAATCAGTGTGCTTTCCCACATGCATCAATATGAATAAATAGCATAACTATAATGTTGATCCAAAAGAAATGCAGAAGAGCTGGGCATAGTGGCACACGCCTATAATCCCAGCACTCAGGAGTCTGAGGCATAAGGATTGCTGCAAGTTCAAGGCAAGCCTGAACTCTGTAGTGAGATCTTGTCTCAAAAACAAAAAAGAATGTAGAAGAGGACATATTCTGTAAGATTCCATTATGTAGCTTTTTTGTTTTTTTTGTTTTTTTGGTACCTGGGATCAAAGTCGGGTCCTTGCGCTTACAAGGCAGGCGGTAGAACCACTGAGCTAAATCCCTGGCCCAGTAGCATTTTTAAATAGGCAAAACTAATCTATGTGAAGAAAGCAAGAATGCAGTAGCCTCTGGGAAAGACAAGACCATGCTGCCAGACAGGAAGCACAATAGAGGCTTCCACACTGCAATGTTCCATATTCTAACCTGGTTTCGTTACCCATACATGGGTGACAGAATATCCAAGAGTGCTCACTAAAATTCATTGACTGGCACACTTAAGACTTCTGTCCGTCCATATGTATATTAATCTCCAGCTGAAAAAAAGAATCAGGCCGTGTGTCTTGACACACAGGTGTGAAGAACACAGGCTTGTGGGGTGGAGCTCAGTGCAGGGTGCTGGCCTGGTGCACATGGCCCTGGGTGTGGCCAGGGCACCACACACACACACGCGCGCGCACACACTCAAAGGTTTGTATAACCCTAAAGGGAGACTTTCTTGTGCTTCCAAATCTCACTATGGGGAAACTGAGTCCCCAGAAGGACTCCACAGGGAGCAATGCAATGGTGACACTGGGAGCAGCTGGGAAATGCCGGAGGGCACATTTTGGAGACATTTTGCAGTGGCAGCTTGAGCTGCACCTCAGAACCCTAAGCATATCTTACCAATTTCTACCATACAGTCATCATTCAGAATCTGGAAAAAGGAGAGGACTTGGAGGCACGAGAGCCGCTGACACTGCTGGACGATCCAATTCGCCACATGATAAATCTCATCCCCAGTCAGACGGACCCGTTCTTCCAGGTTGGTAAGAAAGCCCAAAGTGCAGGCTATGGAGGGACACAGCATGCTGTTCTCTGTGCTACTTACTCCCGTACATCCCTAACCTGTCATCTGCACCTCACACACAGTGAGGAGTCCATGTAGCGTTCAGCCCTCGCTCCTCCCCCCAGAGGAACAGATTCAGTTTCTTAATCTTCACACATGGGTTTGTACCTACATTCCAGAGCTCTGAAACAATAAGGACTTAACACATTTGGAATGGATACTTGACAGTGCACTGCACATGACCACATACCCAGTGTGTGCTGCGAGTGAACTGAGTGTCAGGAAACCATGGTGAAGGTGTGTGTGGCTCAGAGCTGAGCAACCACTGCTTCCTCCAGATAAGCGTGGACCACTGCTGAGTCGGCCCTCTGTGTGCACACGTCAGCCAGCCACAGATCAAAAGTACTTTTCAGAAAATCGTACTGAATGCTTTTAGGCTCTTCTTCTTTGTCACTGTCTCTCAGATGACACTATATGACTACTTGTGTAACACTGCATTAGGTAGCACAAGGAATCTAGAAGCAAGTTAAAACACATGGGGAGATGCGTGCAGGTCATTCACAAATACTAAACTGCATTCACACAGGGCACTTGGGTGCCCTCCTCTTGGTGCCAGGGAAGGGTCCTGGAACCTATGCCCATGGGTGCCACCCTCCATCCTGCGCACACTTGCTTCAGTCATATGGCAGACAAAGAATTTTGTGGAAGCAAAGGGAAGGGAATAAATAATAAGTAGGGAGCACTGATATGAAGATATACCAAACTTTTGAGATGTTTCCTTATCAGGAAATGGTTGGTGTTCAAGATATAATATCTTCAGAAAAGTAAAATTTGGCAAAGTAGTGACTACGAGAGAGAAAACAAAAATTTAGTTATGTCAGCTACATTTTTTTTTGTTTTTGTACCAGGGATCAAATTTAGGACCTTGCACTCACGAGTCTGTCAGCTGCATTTCTTGTGAATACAAGTAATATTTTTAAAATGAAGAATATTTTTAAGTGATCAAAATTAATATATATTACTATGGACAGGCATAGTAGCACATGGCTGTAATCCCAACACTCAGGATAATCTTAGCACTGAGGAGGCTTAGGCAGAGTATCTCACCTCAAGTTCGAGGCCAATCTGAGCTACATAGTGAGTTCCAGGACAGCTTAATCTACACAGTGAGGCTCTGTCTCAAAAAAAGAAAAAAAAATAAAACAATATACTAATTCATATTGAATTAGTTTGACTAAGTAGAGAATGCAAATCTTTGCTCAGGAAATAATTCTATGGCTTAGAAATGTTTAAATTGTAGAAACAGCTGGGTGTGGTGGCACACATCTGTAATCCCAGCTCTCAGGAGGCTGAGACAGGAGGATCAAGTTCAAGGCTAGCCTGAGCTACGCAGTGAGTCAAGGCTATAAAGTAAGACTTTAAAAAATACAAATAAAAAGGTCTTTTTTTATTATGGTCACTTTGTCCACAGAGGCATATGAATCAAAATTATAAAATTATAATTCTTAGCAAATGGGATGGCTTTAAAAAAGGGTCCAGAAAATCTAATTTCTTCAGATTTCTTACAAGAAGCCAGTGTGGTCATGAGAGACTCAAAATCTGAAAAGGAATAGCATTTCAGATGGAAAATATGAAGGTTTGGAGAATTCTGATCAGTTTGTAAAATTTCAAAGATTTTCAGAAATTAGAGAAGACTGCACATTTCTGTCAAAATTGGCCTTGTGCTTTATGACTTCTGTTTAAACAATACTGACACTGGCTTCAAACAAGGTGACTAGGCACAGGGACCGAAGACTCAGGCTGCCTGGATTCCAGTCAGGTTCTGCACTGACTGGTAGGCAATGTGCTGAGTAATTGACCCTCTCCGGGATTAGCTGTCCCATCTATAAGGGTTCAGTAGGGCCACCTTCAGCTGTCACCTCCTAATGTTTCTGTCTATAAACTGCATTTACACAATATGAACACCACACACACAAAAATACGAGGAACAGCATCGAAGCAAAACCTACACTCACTTAATGTAAAAATACTGACAAATACATGAAAACTACCACTTCCAGCTTCAGTCTCAGTGAATGTTTTGCATGTGTGTTTCACAGAGCTTCATATTTTGGTGTTTCCTAAAGCGAGGTGCAGATGGTGCCTGAGCCATTTTGCTAAATGAGGGACTTTGGAAGCAGGCCACACAGCTGCCCGACTGCTGAGAAACGGCAGCGCTCCACACTGCCAACCTGGGCTGCAGGCCTGTAAATGCAATGGGAGAGAAGCGTAACCCAAAGGAGACTTGCTATGTATACACCAGAGGTTGAATGCTCAGATTGGGAGTTAGAATTTCCAAGTTTGAATGTATATTTCCTTAGCTGGGTAAACTGAGTACTACTTAGCCTCTGTTTAAATTCCACAGCTGTAAAGTGGCAACAATACTAGGGCCTGACCTCACAGGGAAGGTGTGGAGAGTAAGTATTTGGGATGTACTTAGAACAATTCCTGGCAGATAGTAAAGGCTCAATATTTACAACTAGCTCTCTGCTTTCTTAGGGAGAGAAAATGCTCTTCCCACAGTTTACCATGGCACAGACTAAACCCTCAGACTCACACGTTTTACCTTTTTGTTTTGTTTTTTTGAGACAGGATATCACTGTCTAATTTAGGCTGGGCTTGAATTTACTGCGTAGCCCAGGCTGGCCTCAAACTTGTGGCAATTCTGCCTCAGCCGCTCTAGTACTTGGATCATAGGCGTGGACTACCACGCCCAGATGAATAAGTGGGTTTGGTTTTTTTTGTTTTTGTTTTTGTTTTTTTTTGTAGCAGAGATTGAACCCAGGACCCTGTGCTTGCGAGGCAGGTGGTGGCACCACTGAGCTAAATCCCCGGCCCAAGAAATTTCAACTTTTAAATAAATTATTGGAGAAAACTGCACCGCTTGCGGAGCAGCAGCTCCTCTCGCCCTCCCTGAGCGAGGCGCGTTTCCGCCGGGCGGTAGATGCGGGTGCACCAGGGCGCCGACCGCTTGCGCAGAACCG